GACTAGTTCACTGTTGTAAGCGGATATTTTCATATTTCACACAATGCTGAGGCCAGTTCCTAATTTTTGCTTAATTTCCTGATTCATGAAATCTGTGCAGCTCAATATTAGATTACAATGACAACTGTGAACAAACAACGCATAATAAATTATCTTAATCTTTAAGGCGAATTCCCGTTCAAGCGAGATTCAATGTTCTACTTTGCCGATGGTTTTATTTTTAACCCTCTCATATCTAACGAAATGATTCGTCTGCTGTTTATTTGTGTACTCAGTTCTTATGCTTTTAATAAGGGGTGACAACCGCCAGACGAAACGCTTACTTCTACTTAGCAATATTTTCAGTTTTTTTCAATTCTTTCATTTCATGACCACTCAGGCTTTTTAAAAAAACCTTCTACACTCGATGAGGTCGAATCTAAAGAATACTTTACAAATTTCATTCAAAATTTTAACAAATGAAGATAGATTTCGTTTTGTGAGATCACGTGACTGAGCATACACACTCACAAAAAAAAAAAATCAAAACAGGAAAATGAGGCATAATAACTATTGTTCACAACTATTAATAATGGTAATAGGACTGAGTGCTGTCTAATTCGGTCTGTAATCATTCGAGTGGCATCTTTGATATTCACCGGAACACCCGGTGGTAAACTGATAATTTGCGGTTCAAAAAGGCGATTGACACATCTGTTTTTAAGCTCGTCCGTTGAATGATCTACCCTAAGCATAAGTTCATTTTCTGTTTTACGCTTGATGAAACAGTCTTGTAATGATCAGAATTTGAAATTGATTGGGTTTTTACAGAAGTTTCAAAATTTGGCACACAAAACTACGCATAACAAGTTCCGCACGATCACGTGACGGTCGAGTTCAGATCACGTTTCACAAATCAGGGATTTCGCCCGTTTCTGATCGTAACAGTTACGATTCATCAGAACTTATGCCATGAAATATGTCATAATTATTCCTTTCATAGAAAAAAATGAAAAAGAAGAAAAACGACATATGCGCGTGTAATAGCTATAATACTCATGTACGGCAGACACAGAGCCTTATTATTCGACACTAACTTCTTAATTTACATAATAAACCTGTGCTGTGTTCACTGCTGAGTAATCTATTGTGGTCACCGTAAATATTTGCACTAAAATCTTGCATAGATAATATATTTCTGCTGGTCAGCGTAATATTGACTTCTTACCCGGACCATCGCCATTCAAATAAGCACGGGCTCAAACTTTGTATCCATGGTGTCAACGTAATGCCGTATCAATGTACAGCTGAGTATGAGATGGAATTACATTTCTTGTCACAGAACATGTGTTTACCATTAAAAATTTATCAAGGGCTTTTTCAGCTCTGTGTTTAGTTCTCGTGCTGTACAGGTGTTGAAAATTATTGTGGGTAACTTTTAGAAGTTCCCACTGACTACATATTAAGACAGCATCGCGTGACATACCAAGAAAAAACAACGGGTCAGAGAGACTATCCATAAATAACTTAAGTAAAATTGACATATCCAAAGCCTTGACCAGAAGATTCCCTATCTGTCCCTCCTGGACATACTTAACGCCAAAATCTTAAACAATCTTTTCAAACGATGATCGGCAAGAAAATGCATAACGGATTGTGTTTTCTATTTAGCAAACATCATTTTATGTCTACTTCCAAAGTTGTAAGGCCACGGAAGGATGCTTTTCTTGTTCTAAAATACGATTATTGTTTTCACCAATACCTTTTGAAAGAATAAGCTACGGACATAGCGACAGAGAACTAGATTTTTTTTCATTTTGAGGCCGCACTTTGTCATCATTTGCAAGTTTACAGCTCCCTTACCATACTGTATTTGCATGACCGGTTTTACGGGTCAGCCACTGTAATATTTGACTCGTGCGCCTGGCGCGCGTAAATAGAATGAGTTAATGTCTGGTTTTGCCAAACCTCGGTTAAGGAACGACTCGTTACGTTTATCGTGCACATTAAACGCAAAAGGGTGTGACCCTTGGTTCCTCTCGGTATTCTAACGCACTCTTAACGACAGCTCTAAAAAAAATTAGTCTCTCTGTTAGCTTTATTTTTTATTTCATCCTAGAGAGACATCGCTGAAGAAATAATATGTGGACAACTTCGAACATAGGACGTGATGGAATGCCGAAGCATTCAAATCAGTATTGTATCGCTTACTCTAAGGTGACGAGTAAACAACGTTTGCACAAAAGAACATCACGTAGCAGGGTTGGCCCCTGCATGTATGCAACACTGTAAATGAAATCCTTATTAGCGACAGGTTCCAGTAGTCTCACTGTATTTGTATCCGGCATAATTTTGATTCTCGCTGCTTACGTATACCGAAAACATGTACGTGCTAAAATGTGTTGGCGTCATAATAAATATTTTGGTTAGTACCCAAAATTACTTACAAGGAAGCAAATAGTTCTATTGAAACCGGGTGGACCGTGAAAAAGATCTAAACATAGAACACCGTTTTAAGCTCCAGTGGTCATGACCTTATTGGGGCTTTTCGCGCGACTTAGTAAAATCCTTGATCATGGCAGAAAAAGTAATTTTTTTCTCAACCTACAATATTTAGCTTCTGCTTTACAAGAGCTGTTCCGTGACTTGCATTTCGTTGTATCAGCAGATGTGAGAAACGACCTTGTACAAGTACAAAATTGTTGATCACTTACCAATTCAACAGGGAAAACCCCTTCAGACATAATGCCTCACATCATTAAAAGGACTGGCATATAAATGCAACTTATTCGCTATATAAATCAGCGAATCATTTTTTTGTAGCAGAATTTGCGCGAAGCTGTGGAAGAAGCCCTCACAAGTCAAGACTCTACAAGATAGGGAAAAAAGGCAGGATAAATGAACTTATAAAGAAAATTATAATCATCGGAATCTCGTAAAGTTTAAGTCATTGTTTAGCTAAGGGCAAAAAGCTTCAGGTGATGTGGCTCTGATCATGGTGGTCACATTTCACAGCCCAACCTCTTTAATTCACGGCTGCGATCTTATGCTTGCTGTGTTCCAAGTTAACTTGGTCATCTAAATCACTGTCACGTCACTTTAATCTGAAGCGTGACAAATCGAGTGTTGCCTGATGGGGCTTTTCTTTCACAATTTCTACTTGGAGAATAGCCTGCTTACAGGCGGTAGTTCGTATGCGCAAGATTCAACGTGGAGAATATATACGGTCGCCCTATTGGACGGGCGGAGGATTTTGGACGAGTGATAAAGCGAAGAGAAGGGGGAAGGGGAGGTTGAGAGGGGCCAGGGGAGGGTTTCTGGCTTCCTTCCTCTAGCTCCCCCTCGCCTTTTCACTTGTCCCAGATCTTCCACCCGTCGAATATATTCGCCGCGCTGAATCTCGTGCATATCAACTACGTACCCCCTGCAAGCAGGCTGCTGTGCGTAACGAGCAGCGTTCAATTCGATGCCGAGAACGATCAGTAGATTGTCGACGATGACAATTCTCAACCTGGCGGGGCTTTGTGGGGAAAATTGTGTTGCGAAACGAAAATCATCGCAAGAGTGTCATAATCTGAATACAGCTTATATATCATGAACAAAGGATAGAATTCCATTATCAACTTACAGGATATTTTTATTATTTCAGATTTTGTTCTAAAAGTGAGGTTATCATGACTAAACACTATCACGTGACGGTAAAAGAAGGGTTTCCGCTGTTGTTGTTTTCCTTTGCGTTGTTGCTTTTGCGTAAGTATCGTATTTTAAGTAAAGTAATATAAGTATCTTTTATTTCTACGCTCTACAGCTGAGAATAAGCTACAATGCTAATAAGAAGGCAGCCTTCAGGTCATATACAGGGAAGTCATCTAGGATGAACAACTGAGCACATGGAAAAAATCATACAAATGCAAAAATAGTTCGTAGGCTATAGGGTGAAATCAAAGGGGGAGGAGCGTTTCAAGGGGAATGCTGATGAGACAGAAATCCGTGCTTATGAATCTCATGCATAGAAATTAGTTTATTGTGACTTTGAAGTGCTTTTACTTAAAACTGGTGTCGTCTCGAGCGCATCAGTCGTAGTTTATTCCCATTAAGAGAATCCACCAGTTCATGTATCATAAGCTGTTAATCTGACGTCAACTGATTACTGAAAAGTATTTTTTCAACACGCAGACGTCGGGGTGCAGGCTAAGTCATCATGCCAAGCCGATCAGATTACAATCAAGGATCCAATAACTGGTTCGATTCAGTGCCTGGATTGCTTGAAATGCCCGCCTGGCGAAGGCCTCTCAGTGAATTGCGGGGACGTGATAACCCCTTCAACACCAGTGCAGTGCAAGCCATGCGTGCTGGGTGAGACGTATTCTGCTTCCTTCAATACCGCAGCTTGTGAAGACTGTGCAAATTGCGGTGAGTACCGTGAAACGACGAAAGCCTGCACGGTGACTTCCAAGGCCAAGTGTGGAAGGTGTAAGCCTGGTGCGTATGCTGAGGGCATGTTGGGACTGTGCAGGCCGTGCTCTCCGTGCTGTAATGATGGTAACGATATCATTATACCTGAGTGTCAAGTTGCAGGTGTACCAACAAGTATGCAGTGCAGCTACCTACGATCTGACAAGTGCAGCGCATCAGCGGTTTCAAGTATGAGCACGAGGCAGTCAACACTTCGACCAGATCAGTCCACGACCCCATGGCAGCCATCCCGGCCTTCTACAACCAGCAACGAAGTGATCTCTTTTTCAAGTAAGCCAGTCATCAACGTGATTGAAGACGCCTCGCCAAATATGGGCTCCATAGCCATTTCCGTTGTAAGCGGCTTTTTTGTTATCATCACGATCCTTATCATTGCATGCAGCAGAGTACTGCGTCAACGCTGGAAGGCCTTTTGGACGGAGATTGATGTAGTTACTGTGGAAAACGTAGTTGGTCAGACGCAAAACTGCGAACAAAGAAATGAACAAGAACACAATCGGGAACAAACAGTGGATAGAGTCCCACTGCCGCCCGAGGATCTGTATGAAGAGAGTCCACTTCCACATCCTACTCAAGAGGCAGCTGGTGACAAGAATCCCGAAAAAATGGGAGTGCAAGAGACCGCTTCTCCTTCATCAGACCAGAGTAGTTTAGGTAAAACTATGACTTTTTATGACAATTTTTATTTGCTTGTTTTTCTTTCTGAAACAATTATAATTCCCCATTATGCTAAATACCAGTCACGTATCTATTTACTCTTACACAATGGTACAGATCGCCAGGAAGGGGTAATCATGATTTTGATGAATATATAAAACAAACTCCAGCAGATGCCTTGCAACATTTTTCAAAGCGAAGAGAAATTTCGAAGGGGAAATTTGAGTGGACGGTGTATTCTTAAATAGCGAACAATGTGCCAAGCAGAGGCTATCAAAATCGATCCCTGCTTTGAAATCACCCCAAAAACCTTTGAAACCTCAAATTTTTAAAACGTAATTTTAAACCGAGGCGTAAACTGATGCATCTTTTCATATTTCTGTAATTTTAGATTCTAAACTTGACGGGTCTGTGGTGAAGCAGTGTTCTGAATCGTCTAAAGAGCGAGTACACAGTCCCCCCAATGTTGTCACCAAGAAGACCACTGTCACGATGTCCAAAGTCACAGATAAGGGGGTCACTCCGGTTTGAAGAGAGCCATCAGCACCTTTGAATTATCTGATGGCCCGATAACTTTTGCTCTGTAGTTTTTCATTTAATGACAGAGAAGTCGGGACATTTTAACTACTTTTAATTAGTTGTTTCTAATCGTTTGAAAACGTCTACAAGCCCCGATTCACTCTCGTTCCAGGATTCTTCGTTCTCTTAACTACAACTGATTACTCTTCCCATCATCAGCTTTTAACATTTCCTCTCGGCAGCCAGAGACTGATGAGTAATTCAGTCAGTGGTGCATTATAGGCACGCGAATGAATTCGAGCAAATCCTTAAAAGAGAAATCATTAAGGGACAGGGACCGGTCATTTTTCATTGGCTGCGGTTGAGGGTCGGAGCCGGGATTTTGGGTGTGTCACGATAACATTTATGTGATCTCCTCCTAAGGTTTTGTAATAATGTCATGATCCCTGCTCATTAACAATTAATTTGCAGTAAATTGTCTATAGTCCCCACTTTGTACTCTGTTGGCAACGACTGATCCTCCGTATGTTCCTTCTGAGAAGCAATGTGATCCACCCATCAATCATTCAAACTCCTCTCTCCCCAGCGATAAATAATGAATAATAATGAGTAGTTCCTAAGGTCTCTTTGCTTGACGAGAATTCCTATCCAACTTCGTCTACCCAGTCAGATTGACCCACAGTGCAGGGAAGAGGGTGTGAAGGGAGGGGTGCCTATCTTGGGGTGAAGGCTTATCTGTTTGCCTAAACGAGAACATAATCTAAAAAAAAGCGTTGGCAATCGCATATGCCCCAGTCGAAAAATATTTTTACACTTACTGATATATTTCAGAGACAATGTTTCTTATTCGCGGATCGTTTCTACACGATCAACAGCGTATGATTTTTAGCTTGAAGTTCTTACTGATAAACTAATCCAATGTTATTCGATGGAACTCGCCTCCTGTAAGAGGGTCTGGATGGGGGGGAGTGGGTACAAATGTCAGTTGTCAGTTAAAATTTTGACCATTTATCAGTTCACAGTTAGATTTTAGGCCATTTGTCAGTTGTCAGTTAAATGACTGTTGATAATTAACCTGACAAGTTAATTACTACTTTCCGACCCTATTATTGGCTAAAAAGGCACATACAGAGTGAAGTCGAAAATTAAGTCGAAAATTGATAGAATAAGAACTCCTTTTTCTCAACCCTAGAATGAAATAATTCTGAAGATCTTCAAAGTGACTTTCAGTCTTCGTTTAACTACTTGCCCGCCCGGATCTAAAACCCGTAATTAGGGTGATATCTTTATCCCCTCGGTTAGAAAAGTTATTTTCTGAGTCCTTGTCATATTCGTCTGCATATGTTCGCATCTCAGCAACTGCTACTTCAACGATACAGTCCTCAACAAATTTGACATGTGTCACATTCCCAGATGCTGAACGTCGTTTCCGATAAAATTTTGGCCATTTGTCAGCTGTTAGTTAACCCCATCCAGACCCTCCTGTAGGGGCAAACGCTGTCTTTCCCTATTTTTTTTATACATAAACATATCTGTTGATAAGAAAAAAAAAAACAAAAAAGGTATTTGCTGTGTATTGTATGATTTTAACTCACATCCTCTCTCTCTCGGGCCTAGACAGTCCGCTGCGCCATATCTGCACATACTCAACGTCGGTAGAAATCTAATTATAATTTATTATATATAATTAATCATAATTAAACAACTTGAATGGTGACAATATACAGGCAATGGACATCTCAGGCTGACGATAACATCATTTGTTACCATTTTAAAATGGTACCAAGTAATGTTATTCAATCAACGATTAAAATCGTTGATTGAATGTCAACAGGCGCGTAGCGTGGTCATTTTTTCAAGTACACACAAGTACATATGATCTAGAAACCTAAGTAAACTGAGCGAAAAATACTGCGTTCTTTATTTCTTGTTTGAAATAGTTGTGTGAATATAAGCAAAGACCAAAGCGTCTTGCCCTTATTTTGAGCAAACTTGGCGCAAACACAGCATTGTTTTCAAATTTTTCTGGTCACTTCAAGTACGCACGTGCTTATATGCGTAGAGGACGCTACGCGCCTGGTCAGTTAGTCACTACTGTTTTTTCTTGAATCATCTTTCTCTTGTGAAATAAGGTATATGTGGTAAGCAGCAGGTTTCCTGTTTTGAAAATAATGAGACCGTCTGCAACAATACCTTCTCCACCTTCTACCTTCTCAAATTCTAATTCTATTTAGAACATAGCTAGCAGAGTCGCGCAATCAAATTCATTATTCGTAAGCGCACTTAAAATCCCGCTAGTGCACGCTAATAGCGTCATCAAATCCGACTTCACCAGAATTTTTTTTTTTCGCGCGAGCGGCCATTGTTAGCGCGGGGAAAAATGATATATTTCGCGACAATAATGGATAAAAACAGAAACTCGGCCTACTAGTGCGAAAACGAAGACAATGTTTCGACCTTTTCCCTTGGGCTAGAGTTCTTAAATGAGGCAGAAAAAGAGAAAAACAAAGGAAANCTCTTACGCTTCTTTCGTGCACTCCAAACTTCCCGCGTGCTCCATAACTCGATAGTGCACGCTAAAGCATGAACAAATTGTTAATCAATGCCATTAAAATTTTGTCCTATAAGTAGCCGTCATATGCAGTTTCTGATCGTATATTTTTTTATATGTCAGGGCAGTAATGTCGAATTTTAAAGTTTGGTTTTTCGAAAATCTTCTTAATAAAACTTTCACATTACCGTCTATATTAAATTGACAGAATCACACGTAAAGCTTGTCATCTACTTAAGAAGATAAATTATGGTTATAGAGTGTTAACAGTCAGCTTTAAAAAACACTCAACATTGTAAATGGTTGAGTCAATAAGCTTTCAACTTCCGTTCGCGTTCATTGAATCATATCCACAGTACTTCCGGTGCCTCAGGTGATATTTAGCACATTTTTTTTCTAAATTAAGTGGCCATGATTACAAGCCAACCATGAAAAGCTATTAATATACGCAAAAGTTTGGCGGATATTGCGGATATGAACATTACTTAATCTTTGAACTTCTATTTCACTCGTGTAAGCAGGAATTATCACTCTATTAGTCATCAGTCGTAATTCTTGACATATAAAAATAGCTAGAAGTTCTGTTTCTCATTTGATATTACAGTCAGTTTCTATGCTTTGAGGGAAGCCACCCCAAAACGGGCTTAAAAAATACTCACTAATGAAAGTGTGTACAGTATCTCTTTTATTTTTATTGATCTATTTATTTATTTATTTTTTCATTCGTTCTATGGTATGACCGCCTGGGGTTTTTACGACATCTTTCTAATAGCTACAGTCAGAGTTTATTCTCTACTTGACGCTTGCTCGATGTAGTCTAAGCTTAAAACTGCTTGATGTAGTTTGAAATTAATTTATCCCAATAATTCTTTCTCTTTGGCCCGAGATCGTAGCTTGATAAGAAATAGCACACAAACTGTAACTACAAACATTACAGTAAAACGCATGTTGGAAAACAAAATTAGTAAACTTTTAAAATACTATAGTTGTAGTCAGGCATGATAATAAATAAAAAAATTTTTGTTGTCACTGGCTAAAAAACTTTGTGTGAGAATGTTTCGGTTAAAATACTATAACCTTCAGCAATAACTTGAACTGGCTACGAAAGCGAATGATTGCTTTAAAAAGAGCCGCAGAAACGTCACTTGGGATTACCAAGGGCCTTGTAAATGTCAGGAATGTAAATGTGTTCATTAATGGTATTCGGTTCACAAATTGAATGCCACGCTTCTAAAAATAATCTTTTCGACCATTGGGAACAGCGGTCGATAATCTTGACGTCCTCAAGGTCAAAAACATGATTGTAATTTTACAATTTTGGGTTCATGAAGAATTTCTATCTCCCGTGAAAATCGCTCTCACAAGGAATTTTATGCTATCATCACTTGACCTACTTTCTCTCAGCAATTTATGATTAATCTTTTGTCCAGAATAAATTACACATAATTGTGATATTGTGCAGCGCTTTCGAATTGTAACTTCAAATTAGGAATTCTTTGATGCAGAAGTAACAGCAGCAATTTTTGGCAGTCGGTCACCTTTGAATTCTTCTTAAGAGATTCATTTCACATTTAGTGCATCTATTGCTTGCTTTTTTTGAAATAATTATCCTTCTGGTTGGAGCACAATAAGCTCTAAAATTGCATTTTGAATTTTCGTAGTTTGTCTTTATTCAAGCGAATAGTATGGCCAAATAATCAATCGCTGTTCGTGAAATGAACCCGCGCTCTCCAGTACTCGGTCATTCTCGGGAGGATCGAACACTGCTCTCGGGAAAACGGAGAAGATCGAACCAGAGGCTGAGGAGACTCGGGTGGCTATGCGTATGTTATAATGATAGCTTATTACACATTGGACGAATGCATTTTGGGATAGGGGAAACCCCTTTGCTGATAGACATGTGCTTGAGGGGACCGAAAAGTGCTGCAATTGAAAAGATTATGTAAGAAGATGGGGGCTGAGAACTTACAACCAGAATGCAGGGTACCTCAGTTTCAGAGTACCGAAAATGTCTTTTCTCCTTATGTGAAGAATTAACGGAAGGAAACGTACATGATTTGAAGTATTTATGTCGCGATCGGTTAACAACGAGAGAACTGGAGGAGAAGTTGAATATCTTGAGATAAAACAAGAGATAAGAAGAGAAAATCTGTGTTTGTTAGAAGATCTTCTTACGCAAATAGGTCGCAATGATTTAATAGAAAACCTAAATGAGTTCAAGAGCAAATGCAGCTTTGACTGTAACGCGAAGAGTGGTTCCATGGGTTTTCAAGTTGACGATAGCATGGAAGATGTTCCTGACGCTGCCGAACAAACCTCAAATGGCGCCGGCAACAATAATGATCCAACTTCAAGTGGTGAGTTAGAATTATAAATGTAATGTGATAAAAATTCAATAATGACTGCCTTTGTTTTTGTTTTGCGAATTGAACTGATGCGTGACAAGAAATTGTTTTGATTCAGAGTCACGTCAGTGACGAGAATGTGCTTATAGTTCCGCCCAAGACAATGTCTCTTCTTTCTACCTGACGCTCTCTCTTTGGCTGGGATCTCGTGGTACCTTCGAATGTCGATGGTCGTCAATTTAGAATAATATGGAGAATACAAATTTTATTTGGACACGATAAACATGTTTACAGAAATTTGGCTGAATGCATATACATTTAATTCAACACATGAACAACTTTAGTGAGCTGTTTCACGGCGTTACCAGGATGAAATGAAAACTTTCGGCCTAAGGCCTTTGCTCGTGTTCTCGTGGTTGGACTTGTCATCATTTACTATCTGCTTTGATCTTGTCCATCCTTAATCTTTGTTGCTTCACCTTTGTTCTTTTGTGCTCCCTTTGTGTTATTCTACCTAAACAAATATTTTGCATGTATCTTCAAGGGTACCAGGATCGATAAATCGACCGATGCATCTGTCCATTTATCAATCGTTACTCGATCTACACTCGATCTACACTCCATATACACTCGATCTATACTCGACCGACACGCGACCGACATGTCGAGCGATGTGTAGTTAGAGCTTTCTCTGATGTCGGCCAAGGTATCGACCGTGACCATATTGGTAGCTTATCGGTTAACTACCGGTGGCACATATCGGTCAACTGTAGGCGGAATATTGGTTGAGTAACCATAGGCGGCCCAAGCTCTCTTTGAGAACCACACAAAGAACACAATTTGCATATTTATAAGGATTTGTATGGGATTTTCTATAAGATATNATTGCGCTAGATACCTCCATTTCTATACTACTAACGCACTGTCAAGAAACCTCGCTCGGAAACACCACATCGCCTATCTGAACAAGTGTTTACACGACTGTTTTTGTTCAGGGACAAATATTGTAAACAAACTAACGGGCGGGTGTAGCATCGGGTACCAAAATGGAAACCAACTGCGCCAAACTTTTCGTAGGCTACATTTAGCACCAATTTTCCAACAGTACAACGGCCCAAAACCTGAACTCTACAGTAGCTAAATTGACAACCGTAACGGCGCTACTTCCGAGAATTTCTAGTTCTTTCCTTCGGATTTTATCTCGCATATAAAAAATCAATATCGTTAGTAAATAAGTTAATAAATATTGAGTAAATATCAAGAATTACAAAGAGTGAGCCCATCTGCCTTTCCCAAATGGTAAAGAGGTAAAGACTGGTCCAATAAACCAAACAGGCAATCCAACTAGCTTACGCAAATCGTATAATTTATTCCAGTATATTATTATTCGATCTAGAGAATCGAATGAAATACATTTGAGAAACTGATAAGGGTCTATCGATACATAAACACACGAGTCAAACTATTAGCTAGAATTACAGCACTGATAACCTACTTCTTTGGCGATATCTAGTAGGATTGTTTCACGGTATACAGGTCAGCAACAGATATAACAGATCAGGGTATAACAGAATACGGGTTAGCACGACAGGTCAGAAAAACATGAAGTTAACTTCGAATCTAAAACATCTGAACTGAAAGCAGACTTATTCATGTGGCTTAATTGCATAACTTAGTGTCAATCAAAGTCAATCAGGAAATCAAGTTAATAATTCATTGTATTGACGAAACACGATCCAAAAGCGAAACAAGAGAATTGAGCCAGCGAACACGATATTGAATCATACATATTTGCCTGTCATACGGAGGGACCCTGGCCCAGCTCAGCTTTGGTCCTTTGTAGATCGGTAGTTGAGCATCGAAGCGCAAAATCAAAAGGATAAATGGGCGAATTCAAAGGTTTTCTTTGTTTCGCACTCAGATTACTATTTTTTTTCAAGGAACCAGTCACTATCTTTCGCCTGTAGCAGGTGGAGGGAACGAAGGAGCGATCAATCGTTGCCAACAGAGTATATAAGGGATCACTATAGAAAATTGGCCAACCAGTCCCTAATCGATGTCATAGGAACTACAGCCACACAACATTTTTGATTTTTGACATTTTTAGCGATGAATAGCTTAACGGATATTGCGCACAAATAAATATGCTTGCAATTAAGACGACAAGAAGTTCAGTCTAGACAGGACTAAGGGAGGCGTTCAGTTAGGCCAAAAGCGAAACGAGAACGTTTCCATGGTTATCTTGATCAACAATCTGGGAACGTTTATCCACTGGTCAGGAGTAACAAGCGTAACATTGACCTCTTACCAAGACCATCCATCGCCGTTCCTATGAGCACGAGCTCAAACTTTGTATCCATGGTGTCCAGAAGAGTTGATCACTGTGCGTATGCGTGTCTTGCTAAATCATACGGTTCTATGAATATACAGCCGAGATTGAGATGAAAATGCACTCCCTGTCGCAGGAAACGTGATTACGATTAAAAATTTACCAAGGGCTTCTTCAGCTCAGTGTTTCGGTGTCGTGCTGTGCTGATGAAGAAAAATATCATAGGTAATTTATAACAGTTCCCATACTGCATATTGAGACAACATCGTGTGACATACCAAGAGAAAATAATTAATGGGTTAGAGAGAGAGAGAATATCTATATAATAATTGAAATTTACTTATCCAAATGTTTAGATTAGAAGCCTCCCTATCTGTCTTTCGTGGACATACCCATCGCCAAAATCTTAGGCAATCTTTTCAAATAATATTCTGCGCGAAAATGTATAACGGTTTGCGTGTTCTATTCAGCAAACATCATTTTGTATCCATTTCCAAAATTGTAAAGCCATGGACGGGTGCTTTCCCGGTTCTAAAATACGATCATTGTGTTTTCAGCACCTTTTGAAAGAATAAGTTGTAATGACAAAGCTACAGATATCTAGATTTTTTTTCATTTTGAGGCGTGCATCTGGCGCGCGTAACAGAATGAGTTTATGTCTGGTTTTACCAGTCCTGAAGAACGACTCGTTACGTTTTTTGTG